TAGGTAGTGGCCAAACCTGTTGGGAGCTTCTCAACTCTGCAACACATATTTCAAGAGTGTTTGCCTCCAGACATTTTTTTAAAAGATTTATTTTTATTTATTTATGCATACAAGAACTAGGGTGTAGGCCAGAGGTGCAGGGATGAGAGGTTTCACCAGAGACAGAGTGGGGAGCAGAACAGGCAGATCTACTGTAATACACTGCTGAGGGGAGCAGTGGGCGAGACAGTAGAGGTCTGCTGTGCCATGTGGGTCAGCTCCCTGGCCAGGATCAAACTCAGGCTGTGGTAGTGATAGTGCTGAACCTAATCCCTGAGGCACCAGGGAGGTCCAACCTCCAGACATTTAGCTCCAGGCATTTCTCTCCACTCACATTTTATTCAATAAAGCATGAATGTCTTCACTGTCCTTTCCTGTGCTGGTCTCTGATATCCACAAGGGGTTCCAGTTTTGCCCCCAAGCCAGAGGACTCTCTGAGTATAGGGTCCCTCTGATTAGTATTAGAAGATCCTCTCAGGAATGAAGCAAGGGACCGCCTCTGATGCTATCTTAGTTGAAGTCCTCCAAAATAATCTTTTAAAAATGAAATGGACCACAGCCATATATCTGCTTAAATTTCTCCAGGAGATTTTTATCATATTCAGAATAAAAGTTTTATTTTCTGACACATGAAATTTCATAAGATCTGGCCCTCAAACAGCTCATGATATTACCTCATACCATCCTCCCCGCCCCACATATCTCAGCAATACTGGCCTCATTTCTGTTCTTAAAACATGTCCTTAGTAGTGCCTTTAGGTGTTGGTGCTGGCTGTTACCTCTCTCAAGAATGTTCTTTCCTTTGCTCTTTATATGGCCCACAGATTTTATCATTAATGTCTGAACCTAAATGTATATACATTTTAGGAAACTCAACTATAAGAAATATTGAGATTTGCTGGGTCCTTTAGCACTTTTTTTTTTTTTAATAGAGGCATGTTTTATTTATTTATTTACTTACTTGTTTGTTTGTTTATACATGCACTGGCTACAGTCAGAAGCGCGGGAGGGTGAGAGAATTCACCAGAGACAGAGCAGGGAGCAGAACAGGCAGAAGGACCAAAGTACACTGCTGAGGGGAGCAGCGGGCGGCAGGAGAGGTCTGCGCACCATGTGGGACCCTCCTCCGGTGGCCGGGGAGCAGCCGGGGATTGAACCGGTGCCGCAGAGGCTGCGGGCAGCTTTGCAACCCAGCGCTCAACCGCTGTGCCACCGGGGAGGCCCTCCTTTAGCACTTAATGTAAATACAGGTAAGCTTTTTATGCTCTAAGGATTGTTTTGACATTTTTACTTTGTAAAATTATAAAATTTTCTAGATTTTAAATAGAATTCAAGTAATTGTCACTTAAAGGTAGAAAATGGCATGCTAATTGTCTGTAGTGCCTAGAGTACCAATGTGTATAATAGTGAGGTATTGTCAGGTTTGGCTATGTGACTGTGGGCCACGAGCTTGTCTTTGTGAGCAGGGTTGCCCCACCTGTGAAGTAGATATGTTATAGGACAGCCCTTTGGGCTGGTCAACCACGGGTGAAGCTTGGAAATCATGTTGGGCGCCAAGCTGTTATAGGACAGCCCCGATATTGAACGGGTTCCTGGCTGTGGGTCTTGTTAGGGGGAAATGATGTCCTAAGCTAATCCCATACAGGCTTTGTGGACCCCCCCCCACTCCAGACTAAAGCCATCAAGACATTGGGAAAGACAAATCCCGTCACCACCAAAGGGAGGGTGGCTGGGACCTGAGGGTGGAGTTGGGCAGCCAGGTTGGATATAAAAACCAAACAAGTGGGCCTTGGGGGGCTGGCTATTGCTGGCCTCCTGGCTTCACGGCTCCAGGCTCTCGGCCAGCTCTCAGAGTGCCATTTTGGGATTCCTGATCGGCGGATCGGGTAGGACTCATTTAAAACTTTGTCCCCCGCTTTTCTCCCTGAGCTGTACATTTCCTCATTTTCCCTTCCCTTGTAAATAAACCTTTTATTAACCTTTCGCGTGTGCCTGCAGTAGAGCATTAATAAGTCCTTTTAAGGGCGTGGGTGAGGATCCATAGTCAGGCACCCTGTTTTGTATCGGGGTTGCTCTACAACAGGTCCTCACCCGCGCGTTTAAAAGGGACTTACTAATACTCCACTACAGGCACACACAAAAGGTTAATAAAAGTTTATTTACAAGGGAAAAGGAAATAAGGAAAATGTACAACTCAGGGAGAAAATAGGGAAATAAAGTCTTTAATGTGTCCTACCCGATCCGCTGTCCTGGAAACCCAAAGTCACTCTCAGTGCTGGCCGGACGCTGCTAGCTGGTGGAGAGCCAAAATGGGAGACCCCCCAAAGCCCAGGTGTCTGCCTTTATACCAACTTGGCTGCTTAACCCCACCCTCAGGTCCCAGCCACCTTCCCTTTGGTGGTGATGGGATTTGGAGTTCCCAGTGTCTTTGGCTTTGGCCTGGGGTGGGGGTGGAGTCCACAAAGCCTGTATGGAATTAGCTTTAGGACATCCTTTTCCCCCTAACAGATGCAATCATCCCTTGCTTAAGATAAGGCATGTGTATGTGTTAATATCAAAGGATTAAATATTTTACCTTAAATTCTGCCCTTCTCTTCTCCATTCAGTTGGACTCTCTCCTAAAAAAAAAAAAAAAAAGACACAACCAGGAAACGGGTTCTCAACATTGCCTACTGAATTCTCTTCATGGGGGATATATTAGAGCATGCTTAAGCACTCCCTTATGAAAATAGAGTTTGATTGGCTGATGTTACCAGTAATGGTGGGTTGATTGACAAACAAAAGGAGAGCGAGTAGAATAGCAGTGTGGTGGGGAGCATCAAGGGTACTGTAGTTGTACACTGGGCTGGGTAGGACATTTGGTATTCCTGGCCTAGTAAATTCTAGTACAGTAAATGCTAGTAGGAAACCTTCCTCCCCTACCCCCCACCCTCCAGTCATGGTATCAGCCACAAATTTCCAATTATCCCCTGGAGTGCTTCAAAATTAATGAATGCCATAGTCATTATCTTTGGGGCTTTATATTTTACAACAAATGTACCTTCAGTATGAAATTTGTTAGAGACAATTCTTACAGCCCTTTTACCCACAATATTTTTATGTTATGTTAATGGCCTTTTAGCTTAATGCCTTTGTGCTGTGCAAGCTAATTCTGGAACACATTAAGTGTGTTAAGTGAGGGATAAATGTGTGGGGAACAAAACCTACTGAATGGAATTAGAGAGGGATTCTTTGACAAGTAGTTTAGAAACAAAGTACCACATCAAAGCTCAAAAATAGAATGAATGCTGTGGAGGCAGCTAGCTGTGATGAATGCTGTGGAGAGCAGGAGTGAAATTCTGAGATCCTACATTTTTCTTGAAAGAGCAAATTTAGGAAATCAAGTAAACAGCCTCTTCAGCAATGTCTGGAGAAGAGTTTTCCTCATATGATATGATATTCTTAAAGGACATGGGGACAGATATATGGAGTAAATAGCCTCCAAAATGACTCCCAGTGACTCTTGCTTCCTGGTGTTTATAAACTTTGGTAATCCCCTTCCCTTTTGTGTGGGGTAGTCCTAGCAAATTGTTTATGAATGAAGTGTGGGATAAATGATGGAGTATCATTTCAAGATTCAGATACAAAGCTGTGATTCTATTCTGTTCTCTCTCTCTCTCTGGCTTTTCTTAACTTGCTGGCTTTCAAGAGGCAAGCTGCCTCATGCTGTGAGCTGCCCTATGGAAAAATCCATTTGGCAAGGAACAGAGGGCAAGCCAACAGCCAGCTAGAGGTACTCAGTCCAACAATTGAGCTGATAGTACCTATATATTCAGTGATCTTAAAAATGGATCTTTTCATGGCCAATAACTGATTAGAGCCTTATGAGAGACCCTATGACAAAAGACCCAACTCAACCACACCTGGGCATCTGACTCACAGAAACTGTGAGATAATAAACATTTGTTGTTTTAAGTCACTACATTTTAGGTAATTTGTCACACAGCATTAGATACCCAAACTGCTCTACACTACAGGAAGTACTCAACTGTGGTATCATCCATGCTTTATAGTCTTCAAGATAGCAAAACTCAGATTTGTGTATATTTGAATAAGTAGTGAAGCAAAGCAGAGTGTAAAACCTCCCTGAAATCTCTAATAGGCAAAAAACCACCATAATACATTATGTGCCAAGATGGCAAATAAGAGCATCTAACTACAGGCACAAGTTGTGTATTTAGACAACTAACTACACAAATTTGAGCAAATCATACAGTTTTTCTGATGTTCAGTGACTTGATTAAAAATATGATGATAGGACTGAATTAAACTAAGAACTATAAGAAATCTGCCACTGACTTGTGGAAATCTCTTTCTCATCATCCGGAAACTCCATCATTAGGAATTCATTCTTTAGTGCTCCTAGAAACCATCTCTGAAGCTGTTACTCAAGGGGAAAAATTTTAAATGGTGAGAAGAATGCCTTTAAGGATGATCCAGAGAGGTAGGATCTTGTGTTGCTATGAAAGTTGACCCATGGCGTCAGTAGCAATAAAAATAAGCAGGCTTCATTTCACAGTTCTGAGAAACTAGTAGGCATCTTCCTTTCTGATATATTTGATCTATATAAATAGCCACATTTCTCCTCTTATGTTGAGTGTAAGAAGGCTTAGAGCAAACTCAAGTTCACTCATAGCCATGGTGCTAAATTTTATGGTTCTCACACTCATTTGTATTCTTTTACATGTCCTAATTTTTCCACTTCTACTTTACCCTATATCTTTTATTTAAAGCCAGCTGAAATTTAAAGCCAGCATAAATGTTTGAAAGTTATTTCTCCAACTTTGAAGATACAAACATAAATAGCTATTTTGAAATTTTAAGGTTAATTTAGCTTTGGTGGGTGACAAAGATTTAAATAAATGTAATTTGGAAAAATTAGCATAAATTGGAAAAAATAAAGACATCAGAAATTGAAAGCATATTTGTACCGTTTTTATTTGTAAAAATAACCATCTGAATGCATTTCCATTTTATATTACAGTTAAGTACTTCATTATATTATTAGCATTCAGTAGTTGAAAAAGTATTAAACTGTGCTTGAGAAGATTCAATTGGTTCAAAGTCATTCATTGAACTAAAAGTCATTTACCTCATTTTTACAGTCATGACATTTACCAGAGTCATTGAACTCCAATTTACATAAAAAAACATCACAGACAAAATCCCACCGAAATCATCAAACAATATTTTATGCTGTTACAAATATGTTATGCAAAATATAACACTGGCACCAGATTTGTGTCATCGTGCATTGCAAAGATATATTGCACATGCTAAAGCATAAAATATGTAGACAAAACTACCAAACAAAAGATATTTGCATTGAATTTTTAGATCACTGCATAAGAAACGCATAGAATTACATTTTATACACACACTCAGATTGTCACTATCTTAAAACGACTTTCCTCTATAACACTGATCTATGGTTTACAGTTTTGTAAGAAGAAAGCATTTTAGCACTGCAAAATTGAACATAATTCCAATAAAAACTTTAGCATTTCCATCTCAAAGCAGGTCAAGGGGAATTAGGAAAAAGAAACAAACCTTTATACATTCAAAGGAAAGTTGAAACGAAAACTCACTGGTATATTGCTCTGATAACACTCAAATGAAAAAAATACAAAACATTTCACAGAACATTTTCAGAATATACAAATATAAAAAGGCACTCTAACTTCATTACAAGACAAAAAGGGATGAATTCTTTAACCAATGCAACAGATAAGCAAACGAAGTTGCTCAACAGTACAGAGTTAACTAGTGCAGCAAATCGATTTGATGTTCTTTTTCTAATTTAATAATAAAACAATAAATCAAGCAGCTGCTTACTGCCTAAAGTACCAAAACATACTATGGTGCCCTTTTAGTAGTGATAAATAGAAATCCCCTGAGCTATTTACTGTAGAATCATAGCAGATTTTAGGCAATTTGGAGATAGTAATGTATTTACCAAGGATAGGCAGACACTGGCAAATAGGTAAGTGCAATGAAAAATGATCCCTGTGGCTGTGATGAAAATACAGTCTAAAAATAACACAATTAGTTGAAAGCACAAAACAGTTAATTCTCAATTAAAAACAATGCTTTCTGGTTTTTTCCTTGAAAAATTATGCTGCAAGTCTAATTTCGTTTCTGAGATGTACAGAACTCTTAGTTTTAAGTCATCTTTTAATGGAAAAATTTGGTTTTGGTAAGTGGGAGGGAGAAAAAGAGGTGGGGAGAGAACAGTTCATAGTGAATAGAATTTCATTTTGTTTGTCCCCTTTCTATCAGTAAGAAAGTGGGGGGGTGGGTGTAAGGGGGATGTCAAAGTGAAGCTCCATGAAGAAAACATCACATGGTTGTCTGTGCTTTGCAGTGCTGTTCCTTGTTTTCTGCGTTACTCTACAGGAGAACCATTATTGCTACTTCACCATCAAAGCAGGCATTTCATTTCCTGCTTTAACCACCAACTGAGCAAGATTTCCATTCACTTCTAGGAAAAAGACACTGCAGTATATTGTGCTTCTTCAGCAATGAATCTCCCTTATTTTCAGTGTTTTGGTAAAGATAAGGACATTATTGCTTATTAGCAATTTATCTACTTTAAAAAAAAAAACAAAACCTCTAAACAAATGAAAAGGGCAGGGGAAGAAGGAGACCAAAACACTAAGAATTAAAAAAACAATGTTGGTGGTGTTGAAAAATCTTCAATGAAATTAATACCAACTCTGTAAGTCCTTTGAGTAAGTTCTCATTTATGAAGAACTTGACGTGAGTTTTTAATTAAATCTAGGATATTGAGTAAGATTACTCTTTTACAGTTAAAAATATAATACAATATCTGTATTTGATTCAGATATAATAGAACACTGTTTTAAAAATAGCTCACATACACTATAAAATAGAAACTTCCACAGTTGAAAATGGAACCAATTATAAAATATCAGAGAGTACCGCCCCAACGCAACATGTTTCTTTCCTGTCTCTTAAGTGGAAAACAGACTTGAGCTGGTGATTTTTATTTCTCTTTTTGGCATATGTGCCCACACATTGACATAGTTTCCTACTAGATTATTGAGACCATGTGAGATTTTCAGTGTATTTTAGATAATTTCTGTTTCAGCTTTTATGGCACAGCACGTAAGGACTGCAGTATCTTCAACTCACCTTTAAATCACTAGACGGGGACTGAGAGATGCATTGCCGCCCTCTCCAATGGACACATGGAAGAACCTGAGGGTCGGCTGGAAACCTTAACATTGGAAATGCTGGGCTTGGTCCCAGAACTGCTGGCTACCCCAGGGAGGGTGCTGTGTATTTTTTGTTATTCCAAATAAGACACATAGCAATTAAAACAGAGAACAAACGATGGGTGTTTCCTTAGCCTTTTTTTTTTTATCTCAAATAAATATAAACACATTTACACATCAAAATTATACAAACATTTTTCTCTTGCTCGGGAAAAAAAAACCCTGTGCAACTCACCATGAACTATAAATGTTAAGCCATCAACTAGAAATCTGTATCATAAGAAATACAAAATACAACAAAGAATGTTCCACAGAGAATTACATTTTAACGCCACAGAAAATTTACCTCAGTTACTTTCATTTTGAAGGAAAACAATTTAAATTGTCCATTTTAGACTGAAGAATTTTGGTCCTCGTGTGTAGCTGGTTGATGAACTACAGACATAGATATCCACATATAAGTGTGTATGTGTGTGCATGACTTTTAAAGAGTCTCATTCTTCTTTTTGTACAGCTATTCCAGGTGCGGAACAGGGTCCATTTGACCTATAAGCTTTGGCAGAGGGAGCAGACATAGTATTCACTATGTTGATTTCATCATCAAGCAATTATCAATCGACTTTAATTTCTACCTCACCAGTTTCTACTTCCTGCATTCTTTCTTTATTCCCTTTTGCAGTCACACTTTGTCATTTGGCATGACCGCGACTGAGAAGTTCATTTGACTATTGATGAACAATGGTGAAGGTCCTGATGTTTAAAAAAAAATATTTTACTTAAGGATGAATCAATAAAGGGTACTTTTGTAACAAATTTGTACATGTCTCCAAGTTTGTTACAGTATTACTTTTACCTGAAATGTTATTAGATAAATTTGGGTTCAATCAATTAGCTGAAATGAGTCACAGGCTCGTCTGGGGGAGCATTGGGTGCCATATTTGCATTAAATTAAAAAAAGCAAGTTTAACTTTCTATTTTCAATGACTTTTCCCCTTCATCTGGCAATTTAACAAAAGTCCTCTGGAAGAATTTCTGGATATTTAAGTGCTTGCTATGGAGAGGTTACAAATGATTGGACTCCCTTAAAATGATTATTACAGGCATTATTTCTGAAGATGAACACTTTTACCTTTGGCTTCTATTAAGGAAGTAAACATCAAAGTGAGAAGAGGTCTGAAGCATTTCCTATTCACCCTTTCCCTCCTCTTCTGGGGATATGAATGTCACATCGATAGACTTCTGAGAACTCAGTGTTGAGTGAGTACATGAAAAAGTATCTTTATAAAGAACAGCTCCCTCTCAGTTTCACTTATCCCCCAAAGAATAAGAATTTTTATTATTCCTTACTTAAATGAGAGGTAGACTTTTGGAGCGGTAATTTATATCTAAGGAAAACATGAAACAAATCATAATCGGGGCCCATCTGTGTAAATGCTTTCACCTAGCTGCCCACCCTGTTTGATGAATTTCTTTTCTACTGGCTTCTGGAAGCTTAGGCTCATAATAATACTTGAATACAACATAAACATGAAATTCAAGCTTCTTTCCTTCCTCCAACATGGGTGATCAAGGAAAAGCTTCTATAGTCCAAAGTCAAAAGGTTTCCGAATCAGAATCATTTTCATTGTACCCGTCCTCCGAGCCTGCGTTGTTACCACACAGGCTAACCATGCTACCCTGATTGGAGAGGGTCGTTCTGTTCAAATTGTCTTTTTTTAAATAAATGCAGTTGATAGCCGTCATTGTATTGGAAGGAGAAAAAGGCATCATGGTAGCCAAAATGAGGGCCAGGCAGTCAGCCACGTCTTTGTTAGGAGCACAAGCCAGGGCCGGGGTATGACCTGGGCGTAAATGCAGACAAGGCAGTGGTTAGTCCGGGGACTCCAGAGGTGGTGTGAGCATCCGACAGTACATCTCCTACAACATCACACGTGGAGATGTATGTTGAGTTAGAAATCATGCCAGACAAAAGGAGGAGTTACTTTCCATAAGTCATGCCAAGGATGAGGCCAGAGGAGACTGGGAGGGGGAGACATTTTATGAAGTTTTTTTTTTTCCAGCTTACAAGACAACATGCAGCACGATATTATTCAAAATTAGGCAGAATTCCAGTCTTCATCTAATGGACAGAAACACAACGGGGAGGGGGTAGGACACAATTTCACAAGAAAACAACAGTAGGACAACCAGAAAGACGTTTCCAGCCAAGAGCACGCCATGCGCCTCAGGCTTGGGCCAGAGACTCTCATTCTGAGAACAGTGGCTTCAATTGTGGGTAATTGTGTGTCAGATTAGAAGACATTGGAAATCAGATGCCAGTAAAAGAGAGCAGTACTGTTTTGTCACTTCACAGATATTTTAAACAAAATATATACCAATTAGCTGGGTCTAAGAAATGAAATCATTTGAATATATCACACATAAGAAAGCACTGGTTGGCTATATTTAAAAATTTAGCAAGTTAAAAATATATATTTTTAAAAATAGCAGCACCACCAAATATATCCCAAATCCTAAATATAACAGATGTGGGAAAACTGACATGGTTGCCCCGGGGTCATGCCACTCTCTACCATTCAGATCTGATGGATACAGTGGAGCAGACAAAACCATCTCAGTGAATGAAACAGGTGCCATGGGAAGGTAGATTCTTGGTTTTATTACTACGCTAACATTTATTCTACTGGCTTGAAAGAGTTAGCCTACCCTCTATGTCAGCCGAAGTTTATTCACTACCACTCATTCATTTATCAGAGGAACTGGCTGAAAAAACTTATGACTTTGTTGACCTGATTTGCACCCCTCACCATACATCAAAAGATTGTTCTCTCTGGTTCAAAAACAAACCAGAGTAGATAGGCATGTTCATTTCTTCCACAAAAGCTTAATGAATAATTGATTTGAACTCTGTACAAAATTAAAATTGTCCCCAATGATTCCCAGGCCTTTGGATGAAGCTAAGCTCTGAGACAAACCACAGTTCCCTCATGCTGGTTTTTTATTCCTAAGATTACTACTGACTGGACTGGACAAAGCTGAGAGGGAGCAGACTTACACCCATGAAAGATAAAATGAGCTTATTCTAGTCTCTTTAGTCATTGTGGACAGAAACTACAGACCCCTACACACCAACTCGAATGTATTGAATGTGGTAATAGGGTGAGGAAAGGTGAGCAAGAAAACCAAAGAGATGAAGTACTAAAGAATTTTCTGTGCCTCCAAGATGAATCAGGTGTGGGACAGAGCAGGGTACATGCTAGGATAAATGGGGCTGCAAAACCGAAACTAATAGGAGTTAGCTAATGATGTCATATGGCTGCTTACTTCTGAGAAATAGGTATGAGCTGCTAATTCCAATACCTGTAATAAGCAGTTAAGTTATGTTAATACATTTTATTATAATGCTTTAATTTCGTGCCATAATTAAGCTAACTACTTTTAAAAAAGAACTTAAATCGTAAATATCCAGAAGTTCCTCTTTTGCTCCCCAAGGTTAACAGATAGTGTGCTTAAAATGGTAGTTTAACACAATTCTAGTACTCATTTGCTTTCAAAATTTCTTAGGAAGCAGAGTAGAAAGCTTCTGTTACAAGTCAGTGCATTTAGGAAAAGAAATGCTATATAAACTTTCAAGTAGAGACATTAATTAAAAATTTTTATTCATGTTCCCTAAATACCCATGCTGGAAATATGAGTTCTCGTTTGTTCTTTTAAGAAAAAAAGTTTGCTCTCAGAATGAACTGAACTACTAAGACCTAGGCTTTTATTCGAGCCCTTGAGCATGCACTAACAACATGAGCAGCCCCTAACACTTCAGCGTATGCAATTAGACTTTTGAATGCCAAATTGAAAGCTTTTTAGTGTGCCTAAAATATTTTAACCACTACGCTGAGGGGTTAGAGACCAGCTGACCATCTGTTGACATTACATGCAAAATGGAAGGCACTGGCTACAGAGAGACTATGTGCTTTACAAAGACAAACAGGACAAATTATCTTTGATTTCTCACACACAGGGGAGAGAATTCTTACTACCTTTTAAACTAGATTCTATCTTTCTCATTTGCCTTTGGCTTCAAATAGCACATGGAGGGAACCTGCCAAAATTGCTTACTTTTTCCACTTACCATTCTCATCAACAGCGAGGACACAGGCCCCTTTGGCCAGCAACTCCTCAACTACAGCCTTTAAGCCGTTGCGTGCAGCAATGTGGAGAGGCCTGAAAAAAAGATAATGCCGGGCATCAACTGGGATCCCTATGTATGTGAGAACATCTTATTTTGGGCTGCACTTGTTCCTAAAGGAAGCAGGTACTTAAGAATCTATAAATGACAGGCGAATATTTACTTGAGAAAGATATTTGTTTACCAGCCCTTTTCCAGGTGCTAATGAACTAACAGTTCTTCCCTGTTGGCCCAGATTTCTCTGCAGATATTACATTGTATCTCAAATGACCTCAATGACAGCAAATAAGAAGCCAGAGGAAAAACTCAAGTTGTGGTATATTTTGTAGAAGGTTCTTTATACCTTGTTTCTACTCAAGCATTTCACAATATTACTAGTATTAATAACACTGATATATACATAATCTCAAACCTTCCTGTGATTACTAAATTAACTAAATGGTATTTTATTGAATTAGAATATCTTAAAGAATAATGTCAAGCCTAGTGTATCTTGCTATATACTGAAGACTTTCATAAAAAAATCTTAATGTTCATCTTCCTTAAAACAAATGTGTAATTTCCTAAGATGGAAAATGAGGCAGCGCTTACACTTTCATGTTGAACATTACACTGATTTATATTAAAATATAATTAAGACAAAACAGCTTAGACACTCTTCAAATATATTCTGGAAACTTGATTTATAAAACTGTCATTTTCCACTAAGAACATATAATGCTAATACATTTGTACAAATAGTTTCTCCAAATGTGTTGCTTATAAGACTTCTAATACTCCACTAAATTTATAATATTACCATAAAAATATCAGCAAAGAAAAACACAAACCTCACAAAATTCTGCAAAAGCATATTAAAATAAATGTTTTAGCTAATGATGTGAGTGTAAACTTCATGAAGTTAGCCAGGTCTATTTCTTTCACCACTGTGTTCCCCAGACTAACCCAGCATAGAGCAAGCTCTCAATATTTGTTGTAGAAATGAATATGAATCTTTCCAAGTCAAATTTTAACAGTCACACTTACGTCTGCAGTGCACTATTTTTTGCGTTAATAAGGCTCTCATCTTGTATCTTGTCAAGTATTAACAAGGCACATTTTTCATGACCCTGATAAAGAAAACAATGATAAGAAACAAAAGACAGAGACACAGAAATGTTCCCCCAAAAACCCCTCAATAGGGCCTCCCCGGTGGCACAGCGGTTGAGCACTGGGTTGTGAAGCTGCCCGTAGCCTCTGCACCACAGGTTTGATCCCCGGCTGCTCCCCGGCCACCGGAGGAGGGTCCCACATGGCGCGCAGACCTCTCCTGCCGCCCGCTGCTCCCCTCAGCATGTATTTCGGTCCTTCTGCCTGCTCTGCTCCCCGCTCTGGCTCTGGTGAATCCTCTCACCCTCCCGCGCTTCTGACTGTACTCAGTGCTTATATAAATAAATAAACAAATAAATCTTAAAAAAAAAATCCCCTCAATTTCTTTTAAATTTAAAATGAATATCCTGTTCCTAAAAACATTTTATGAGGCTGTTTTCTGAGAATTTCTTTTTTCTTTTAAAATGTAACATTACCAAGCAATGGGCTAGTTGCTCAATGTGCATAAGCTGATTATGAAACCATAATTTCATTTGAGATATTGAAAGAAAAATGAAAGATGTCCATAAGCAAGAAGATAAGGGAAATTTCTCACACCTACCCTACTCCCTTCTAAGTAGGGGAAAGAATTTATATTGACTTTGAGGAGCGGGGTTGGTGACAAAGGAGTTAAATTTATTATTGGCTAAGGAGTGGGTTATTGGCAAAGAAATGTATTCTTGGCTGAAGTTCACTGGCTAATTGCGTGGAAATTCACACATGCAAAAATACGAAGGAGCTTTACTTTTTCAGTTAACTGGAGGTTTACATTTCTGTTTGTGGGCCCCTCACCTCTGGGTATCTCCTCCCTCCCTTCCTCCATGTCAGCTGGCACAGGGCTGAGCTCAGGGTTAGCGAAGTCTGCCCAGGCTCAGGTTGAGTCATTTGCTGATAAATTTTCAGGCTCTGCTGTTTAGGAAAGCAAGTCTAAAAGAAGAACTGAAATAAGTTCCTTTTTTCTTTTGTCTGAGAGCAATGTAACCCTTACCCTTGATTTCACAAATGGTGAAAGGGCTTTAGATTCTCGAAGACTCTAAATATCTAATATTTTAAATCTGATCAATATTATTTTTCAACATAAGGCAAGTTCAATCTTCCTCAACTTTTCAGTGACCACTTCAGTGATCCTTCTGACCTGGGAATTCCCATTACACCTGTTATCTGTATCACTCATCACCATGTTGACTGCCTTGTATTGAAAAGAGACTGGTTCAGGAAAGCTCATTCTTTTCTTCCTCAAACAGGAAGCACTGTATCTTATAACAACAGATCAAATAGATCATTGGTAATTAAAAAAAAATCAACTGATAAGTCAGGGACTCTTTCATGATTTCAGGCCAATGTGTTGTTAAGATGATATCCTTCCTAAGCCCTCACTGCTCAAAGTATCGTCTGCAGATCTGTAGGAAAAGCATCACCTGCAGCTTAGAAATGTTGGATCTCAGGCCACCCTCCAGACCTACTAAACCAAAACCTGAAGTTCATGAAAATCCTCGGGTCATCGGCACAATAGTTTGAAAAGTACTGCACTTCTATTCACTAATACACCACACCTTAAAATGAACTTCATGAAATTGATCACTTTTGTGGCCTCATGGGTTCTCCAGAGCATGGAGTGAGAATAACACAACTGATGAAAGGAATAGCTGTTTTTGCTATCACTGGGTATAGACAGCACATTTCATAACTATATTAAAATAACAACCGTCTCTGGTATCAACTGCTATCATACTCTAATGTTACAAAAAGGAGACTCAAATATAATTTTATGAATGTTTATAGGGGTTCATTCTGATGCTCCTGGTGGAAGCGTAAACTGTTGTGATTTTATTACAGGGAGATTTGGTCTTAAAAATGTTCAGAGTCTTAGATTTAGTAAGTTACTTTTAGGAATTTAGTCTAAATGCGTAAAGATTGACGTAAAAATATTATTTTACATTACTATTATCTATATTAGAATACATTTGAAAATAAGCTATTATTTAATAATAGGGGAGAGATTGAATGGCACATTCCCATGGTAGAATATAACGCATGCTATAAAATATGATATCTAAAATATAGTCATTATATATGTTTCAGTAACAAAAGCAGGTTATAAGACAGTATAATCCCACTTTTGTAGAATCATTTATATATATCATTTCTCTTTTATGGAAACTACATATGAAAATGATGCTATTAAAAAAAACCCAAAAAACTACCACCACCAAATATATTTTTTTGTACTGAACTATTTTATACAGTTTCCCCAAATACATTGCCTCTAAGATTTTCTATGAAAAAAAAAATAAACAAAGAAGTGGGGTAGACACCCACATGAACACATCTATTTGCTTCACAGGAGAGTATCTTTTGGCTGTGTTGTTATGTGTCCAAATGCAATAAAATGTAAACAAATGAAACTGCTTGTATTTCAGAAGTCATGTAATTAAGTTGCAACCTGTATTTAAAACAAAAATGTGATTCCACAACCATGGAGACAAATACAGTGGCAGCATCAAGACAGACTTTAGCAAGAATACATGGGGTAAAATGCCATGGAGAGCAAACTATCACCAGCTCCTCCATGGGTTTGCCCTTTGTTTCCAATCCTTCCCTTCCACTGTCAAAAATCAAACATTTTGAGAAAATACACCTCTTAAGTAAGAGCTATGATATACATTTCTGAGACTTAATTTAAGTGCTATTATTCTTGTTATTACTATAGCTATACCACTTAGCAACATTTTCAAATCATTTACATACTTTCCTACTAGCCAAATGTAAGGGTGTGTTCAAGTCCTTGTCCTTTACAGACAGATCAGCCTGGGCACTGTTCACCAAAATATCTATTAAAAAAAAAAAAAGCCAAAAGAGAGTTACTCAGACTAGATGTTAATTAGGTATGTTTTGAAAAAGATACTAAAGAGACAGTAACATTGAAATTAGTACAGCCCACTTAATGTTTTCAAAGAAAAAAATAATTTATTGCTATATTTGTTCTATCCAAATCCAAGAGCAATAAGCATTAATTTAAATTATCTTAACCATTTCATTATTCCCGGGTAAAATGATTCTATCTATATCAGGTTTCTGAATGTAGAGAGATTTCACAGCAGAACGGATGGCTCACTTTAACAACATCCACTAAAGATCAAGTAACAGGGGACTGAAGACTATTAGTAAGTAGAGTCAGGAGGTTTAAATAAAAAGTGGTTCTTTTTCACATATGTATACTGAGAGCACCTTATTTCTCAATTTAATGTTAGTTTGGTCTTGCACAGAATAGACATTAACAGCTTAAGTCCTCACAACAAGCACATACCCACAGCGCCTGCCTGACCGTTCTCAGCAGCCATCATCAGTGGCGTTTTCCCTGAATTATCCACTGCGTTCACTTCAGCACTGTGTCTCAGGAGAAGCTGCAAGCACTCCACGTGATCAGCAAATGCTGCTGCGTGGAGCGGTGTCCTAACCATTTAAAACAAAAGTGACTTTAGTTTCCTTCAAATGTAACACATTCTCTTTCTGTAAATACCCAAGAAATATATGCATGGCGTTGTTTTAGGCATTTGAAAGTTCTCATGTGGTGACATGCATCTGAAGAGGTGTGATCTTGTGCCTTTGAATCATATACAGTGTTGTAAATCAGTTATCACAATAAAAAAAAATACGAAGGACCAATTCAGTGAGAAATGAGAAATCTAAGGGAAGTTGATAGTAAACAAGAAATAGAAATTATAAAATTTGACTAAAAAAGAAATCAGTCTCCAAGAAAATCTGATTTCTCTATTTTTGCATTTAATTATATATATAAATGAAAGTATAACATGAGAAATAATATGTGGAATAATAAAGCATTTTTTTCAAATGTGTGTATACTTAAGAGAACTAATACATAACTGTCAAGTACATGTCTCAGCTTACAGAGATAATGATCAGACTCCCTCTAAAGGTCATTTAGGCAGATACTGAAGTGTCATCTATGTCAGTGGCACCCCTAGATTGAGGGGGTACAGGTGGTGTTCAGCATAATGAAATGAACATCTTTACTGACCCTTTAATCTTGAGTTCCTGTGACATCTCTCTTATATTTGATAGATACATTCAAAATTAAGTCTTAAATTTGCAGATAATAGATTATTTAAAAATTTAAAAATCACACACCATCTAATATGGACAGTGAGTTTCTTTGGCAGAACAATTTGGCATTATTTATCAAAATTTATAACTATTGATCTGTTAACCAAGTAATTCTACGATTTTATCTCCCAGATACACCAGGTCATGTGAACAGACCCATATACTAGACTATTTACTGCACTGCTCTTTGAAATAGCAAAATATTGTAAATCTAAATGGTTTTCCACAGAGGGCAGGATGATAGTGTGTCTCTTCAGTAGAATAATGTGTGGCTTTAAAAGGGACATGGTAAATCTACATATTCTGGCACAGAAAGATGTGCAAGATATACTAAAAGCAAAGCATTATTATAGAATGCTCCCATTTGTACAAAAGAATATAACATATATATTTAAATGTTTATAGCTATGTATAGAAATATTTGAGAGATTACAAAAATTTGGAATACACATTTGAAGGTGGCTTTCTTCATGGAAGAGACTAGAGTTTTTGAGCTAAGAGGAAATTTTCTTTTAATTATAACCTTAATTATATTTAAATTTAATTTTAGAAACCATGTTTATATATTATGTTTTGTAATCACAAAGTAGAGACTAATATGCATCAAGACAAGAAGACATTAGGATTACTTACCTGCCTTTGTCATCTCTACAATTGACAATACTGGAATCAATAGCCCCAAGTAGCAATGATGCACAATTCTCATGATCATTTATTCTAAAATGAAAACGGATTTAAAATTTTGAGCTCTCTCTCTTTAAAAAGTGAAATAAAAATTTTAAATGATGTATTCCCTTATGCTTCAAATTCCTATATGCTATTTATTTAACAATCTGAGGCATTTTAAAAAAAAAACTTGATAAAAATATGTAGTTATAGTCTGTTAAAATGATTTAATAAGACAAAATAGGTGATACAAATAAACTTTATTGAACACTTCTATGAAGCAGGCAGTTTCTATTTTCCACATCTTGTCTCATGAAATCTTAAATTTTGCTTGTATCAACTAAATTGTGTCCTTTAATCATTTTAACAGTATTTTTTGGTGAAGAGGATGGGATCTGAAAATGACTACTAGTGATCTACAGGATGAGATCACAGGTGAGGTACCTGCTGAAGACTTTGCCTTCACTGCTCCTCTCAACATTACAAGGGTTGTGGCTAAGTCTCACTCAGATTCGAGCTCCACTTCCTTGTATGCTGTTCCCTGATCCAAACAAACTTTATCAAAAAATCAAAAATATTTTAAAGAAAGTCAGTTATTAAAGTTTCCAGAAAGGTTCTGGAACAGTTATATATTGGGCATCCATAGCAGGTAGTAGCAGATAAAGGACTAATTAGGACCTTGAGTTAAGTCTAAAACATAAATCACTAGGGGACTTGGGGAAACAAATTAAAACAAGGAATCTGGACTTTTATGCCCAATGGTACATCAAAATCTAAGTGAGCACAAGTCAGACCACTGAGAGTCATTAAGCTATTCACCACTTTGCCAAAAAAGGAATAGATACATTGTTAATGGGAATTTCAGAAGCCAAAGTTACAAAATTGGTAGATGCAAGTGGAATATTTATCATCCAAATCTAAGATGTGTGAAGGAGGCCAAAAGGTACAAACATCCATTTATAAAATAAGCAAGTCATGTGAATATAATGTTAGCATGGCAACTACAGTTAATAATACTACATTGCATATTCAAAAGTTACTAAGTAAATGGTAAAAGCTCTATTCACAAAAAAAATTCTGTAATTATGAATTGTAACAAATGTTACCTAGATTAATTGTGGTGATCATTTTGTAATATGTCAAATCAGTATATCATATACTTGAAACTAATTTAATGTTATACATCAATAATCCCTCAATAAAAAAGAAAAAGAAATTTTCAATGCAACAAAGGACATTGTCATACACCACAAAATCCTCAAGCAGCAGCAAATCCCTCTCAGGTACTAATATGACTCTGAAAGACTCAAAATCCTACTGATATAAATATCTTCTAATTAACCATAGGCACATTGTCGCTAACCCCAACCCATTTTTAGAATTTGGCAGACAAATGGAGGTCCAGCTGAAGACTCTTCATATAGAATGTAAAGTGCCCCTCAGCACATCTCTTCACGTAATTTCCCTAATGTGGCATGTGAGCCACCTTGGAACCACAGCACTCCACAATAAGCTCCTAGAAAATCATTAACATTAGCATTAGTGCTTTGCTATCAGACCTATTGCCTTTAAAAGAAAAATGGAATATATCAGTCCTATTTGTAATCTAAAAGCATTTCCTTTCCCTAAGAGCAATTTTATTATGTGTAGTTAAAAGAATTAAAGTAATACCATTAACTTACAGCATTTCTACTTACATTGCACAGTGCAGTGGAGTAAAAGGATTACCGACAAATTTACGAAAACATTTTTGCTCCAAAAGTACCTCTATACAGTTTTCATTACCTGCAAGGAATCAAAAGAATTTAAGAAGTTTCCAAAAAAGAAAACTTTACCCAACACAATCTATGTTTTTTCATTAAGTATTAAATTATGGTTATGAATTTTCCTCAATGGGCTGATTCTTCATTCCCCATGGAATGAAATTCATAAAACGTCCTTTACTATGCTCACAGGTGTTCTGAGACATAATGAACACATAAAACAATGATATGGCTTGGTGAGAAGAAAGTGATAGAGAAGAGACCTCATTTGCAAACAGAACAGATTCTAAGTTACTCTCAGCTCTTGACAAATAGATGCTTAGAGAGGTTATGTCTCAGTTTGGCTATATTTACAATAGGAAACTGCCTTTCACCCATATAAATATGTTCTCTCACAATTATTCCCCCTAGTGAAGGAAAGCAGTGATTGATAGAAAACAGTATTTGAAATAATTCAAATAAAAGGGCTTTGCTATAATTAATTATTTAAAATGACACCAAGAATAGTTTGGCAAACAGCATGTGTCCAACAAGTATTTTTAAAAAATAAGTAGTGAAATATTATTTCAACAAAATGACAAGTAATGACCAAATCACTTTATTAGTTTACTTGTTATATGATCTTAAGCAACTGACTTGGGGGGTAGGGAATCTGTACACTTCAGTTTTCCATATATAAAATAATTAGACTGGGATTACCTGTCATAGCTTTACTTGATAAAGTACCTAAATGTGGTTTGTGAAGAACATGCAATTGCTAAGGCTAGATGACATTTGGCTGTTGTACACAGAACCTCTTTTTGACTAAACTAAGTGCTGATTTAGAGTTCCCCTATGATCTACCTCAGAATGATAAAGATTGGAGAATTTTCAGTATTAAAATACAAGTCAAACCTTTCTTTTGCCTACAGAGAGAAAAGGTAAACCTGTTTTAGGGGGATTAAGAGGCATATTAAGTAAATAAACATTAAAAATCCATTAACTTTAAGCAAATTAGACAGTTTAATTTCCCAACTCTACCAAATCCTCACTTAAGTAGTCCCAGACACTTCAATGCTTTTATCAGTATGAATCCCCCATAGGACCTAGCTTAGGGCAGCATCTATACATAACTTCAGAGACTATATGAATCCCATTCTAAGGGTCTGTGTAGATAGGGCTGGAGATTCTCGAGCTGCTTTCAATATTTCAAGGTGCTAGAGACCTTGAAATACTTTCAATATTTCAAGGTGCCAGGGTAGAGGATTCTGGGAAGACTGGACCCTGAACCTCAGAAGTGGAAGAAGACTGCACTGGCTGGGTGAATAGCTTAGGAGAGAACCGCTCCTCCTCCTGGCTTGTATCAGGAGAAGCCTTATGAACAAAGAGACCGAACATTCCTACCCCATCCCACCGTGGGAGAAGAGATGGTCTCTGGCTGGTTCGCCACCTGCTATTCTAATCAGTAATTCTACTACATCTTCTCCTTTCTATAGGGTTTCCAGAGAGATGTCACAGCTTGGGGACGCTAATGATAACAATTTAAGAACTTTTATTATATTTTCATTACATTACATCCTCTTCTTTCTATTGGTTCTGACTTCAATAAGAACTAAATTTTCTACTTGGTTATCTTGATTTCACTCCCTTCTTGCTGAGAATTTTTTTTTAACCTACTAAGTGATGAAGACTGTGGGAAGGTTAGAGGAACCCTCATTGTTTAGCAACATTAAAAAAAAAAACATCTTCTGGGCCTAATAATCTGAGTTTCTGAGTGAAAGTTTTAATAGAAGAGTTGAAAATAGAAAAATAAAATTATAGAATCAAAGTAAGACTACAAGGGGAAATATCCATATGAACAAGGGGATGGGAGAACTTTGTAAGCAAGGATGGAAACCTAGACACCATAAAAGAAAAATATTACAGATTCAACAACATGAAAGTTCATAATCTCTGCTTGGGAAAAAATGAACAAGGAGCCAAGACAAATAGTAGACTGAGAAAAAACATTCAAACACACAGGGGATTCCTATCTCTAAGATAAGGTGCTCCAACAAATGTATGGGGAAAAAAGACAACAGAACAGAAAAAATGAGTGATAGAAAAAGTAATAGTAAAAAGTGATAGTAAAAAGACAGAAAGGGAGATATAAATGCATAAAGGCACTATTAGATAGGAATCACAGGTTCAAATAATGAGATACCCCTTTCTTGCCCTTCAAATTGACAGAAATAAAAAAGGTATATTGGGATGGCAAAGACTTGAGAAAATAGTGCATTATATAATATATATATATCTATATATTATATATATGTTTGGTGAAATAAAAAGTCATGACATCTTTTTTGCAAAGTAATTTGGCATAATTTATTAAAATTGAAAATATGCATGTCCTTTGATCAATAATTTTATTCTGGAAATCTATCTGACAAATTTAAGGTACACACACACACACACATACAACACAGCAGAATTGTTTGTAATGGAAAAAAAAGCCTAAAAATGATCTGAAGTTCTATCAATAGAGATATGGTTGAATAAATAATAAATTCTGATATATACACATGTACATCTACATCTATACACATGTACATTTACATGTATCTGCTACAGAATAATATATACCTCTTTAAAAGATTGATCTATACTATACATATTAAGTAAGGCAATCTGCAATAGAATGGTAAGCAAAAATAATGAAAACGAAAATTGTAAAATGATATTTATTATATGATTATAGCTTAAAAGATAGATGCACATAGATTTACATTTATTTATAATCTCAAGGGAAAAATCATGAAATGTAAGTACCAATTTATATCAGAAAGTGAGTTTGGAAATAGAGACTTATTTTCACTTTAGACACTTCATTATTGTGAAATGTTACAATTAGCATGCATTTCTTTTTACTCTACAAAGTCAAATAAAAAAATTTAAAGTCCCAAGTGCAACAAAATGAATGGGAGATGTAAAACATGGAAAAGAAATGCCCAAAGACAACTGATGGAATCACTTGTCAACTTGTAGCCATTGTGAAAGATTATTTCATCTTTTTTTGTGTGTTTTTAGCTTTATTAGTTTAACTCATTGAACGATCCCTGATCACCTCATGGAGATCAGGAGCCCTGATTAAAACTGTTGTTTCAGTTCATCAGAATTTTGATTAGGAATTACGTGTTACTGAAACAAAACAAGGGAGAAATAAATTTTTACTATATTAAGTCATCATGGCAGCCAGGGAGGGAAAAATACTAAAACAACAACAGGCATTGTGGATGCAGACAGATTGGAGGCCATGGTTTATAGAGTTCTGCCATGTTCTTGCCTCCACTGAGATCATAGTGGTGATGGGTTAGGAAGTCTACTGGAATTGGTTAATGACAATCAACTCACCATTGTAACAAGCCCAGTGCAATGGCGTGTAGCCTTGATTATCCTTGAAAGAACAGTCCTCCTCAGAAAGTGCCATCTGGAGTAGCTCGCTCAGCCAGGTGGCATGGCCACGAGCAGCTGCATAGTGCAAGGGTGTCCTCCCTCTGGCATCTTTACAGAGAATCGACACTTCTTGTTCCAGCAGCATTTGCACACATTCCTCGTGTCCCGTTATAATCTGATGTATCACAATTAAAGTCACAAAACAAACCTCAGTAGGGCAGAAGACTCAGGAAACCAGTAGGCTAAGTGAGACTGAGTTCAGAGTAAATTCATATCTGTCTGGGACTGAAGGGAAGCAGACTTGGCCCTCCTTCAGAGGAGACAGGCAGGACACTCCAGGAGGAGTTATGACACAAAACTCTGTGTGAACACCAGCACTTTGAAAATATCTCTTGACTCTCCAAACATAACCATGATAGGTATCATGATAAAGTGGAAAATATCAGCTTTAGAACCAAGAAGATGTTAGTTAAACCCCAACTCCCCCTTGTGAAATCTGGAAAAGTCAATTCACCTATCTGTGCCTTACTTTATCCATCTATAAATGGGAATGGTTATAACAACCTCATGGGTTGTTAGGAAGACTACTGACATATGCAGAGGCTCCCAGCTTGCTGCACGGCCCATAAAACATAGAAATAAGAACTATGGTTGGACATTATCACTTAGAATTCCTTTTTTTTAAATTTATCATGGTATTCAACACCATCCCCTAAACAGCAATTTTATGATTTCTGCTTTAGTTTCATTTAGCTTATTTGACAGACTTTAATAAACAGTTCAGCATACATGCACAAAGAATTGTCCAGAGGATACATATTTCAGCATACCTATTTCTGGGGTGGAGGGCAATATTTGCAATAAAGAGAACTAAAGATAGCAACTACCCAAAGCCAGGTAATCATTGGAATAAATTATGATACCTGCACACAATGGAGTGTTAAAAATGATAGGGCAGAAAAATATTAATGACATGGAAAACAGTATGTGATACACTGAGAGAAAAAAATGCAGTTTCCAAATAATAGCATCTTCAGTATTCTCTCTTAAAATTTTAAAACAAATTTATATACAGAGAAAAAAGTCATGAATATACCAAAAAAGTGGTTATCTTCAAGAGACAGGTTTACTGGTGACTGTGAATTTATTCTCTGTGCTTTACAAAATATTTTGTAAATTTTCTATAATGCGCATATATTTAGTAATCAGAAAGCAGAACCAATTTCACCAGCAGTGAAATTGGGGTCATGGGCCTATGGTTACAATGAACCCGAAATCCCAAGAGCATGACTTTAAGGGTTCTTGCCAATATTTTACCTTTGGAAAATATTTCGTAATTTCTTTGTGATACTCTGTTTAATTGATTAAACAGGAAACAATCTTTTTATTAAAAATTCAAATAGGGGTAAAAAAGAGGAAACAAGCTCATCGCCAAATTGCTTGACTAAAACTGAGGAAGATGGACTTACCCCTCTGTGTAAAGCCGTGCATCCCATAATGTCAACAGCATCGACATTGGCTTCCTTTTCAAGTAACAACGAGACAGCATCAATGTGTCCATATGCTACTGCAAGCATCAGTGGGGTTCTAGGAAGAGAGATAAATTAGACTTTTATTTTACTTTTTTAAGATTTATTTATTTATACAAGCACTGGGTACAGTCAGAAGCATGGGAGGGTGAGAGAATTCACCAGAGCCAGAGTGGGGAGCAGAGCAGGCAGACTGACGAACTACACTGCTGAGGGGAGCAGCGGGTGGCAGGAAAGGTCTGCGCGCCATGTGGGACCCTCACCCGGTGGCCAGGGATCGAACCGGCACTGCAGAGGCTGTGGAAAACTTCACAACCCAGTGCTCAACTGCTGTGCCACTGGGGAGGCCCCAAATTAGACTTTTAAAAGAAGATTTTTTAAAAAGCTCATTACTTCCAGCAGAAGGACCTTCTTCTCTTTGTCTCTCTCCTCTTAATAATTGCTTAATGTTTTCTGTGTTTCCATTTTGCTGTATGGTACATGAAACCAACTGTCTGCCTTTGGTCCCTCATGGCCATGTAGGATGGAGTTATTGGGGTGATCAGTATTGGAGGGAAGGCCACAGTTCTGTCTCAAAACACATTCAAACTAATTCCATCACTTTCAGAACTGGGCAGCATTTAGGAAATATCATTTGGGTGTGTGTATGTAGAGACTCTCTTGGTTCTATAAGAACAGCTCTACCTTAAGAATTTTCTAGCTTGGACTTCTGGTCAAGATTTCATTTGAACAAAGCTTCATTGTCTTTGAAAAAAGTCTGCCAAGTCTAGAGAAAGGACAGAGAACTGGGGTCCAAACAGTGAGGTACTCACTCATCTGCCTGGGTGAGCTACCAGTGCTTTTCTGCTCTATATTCCCATGTATAAGAGACGACTGAGTGGGGAAGACTAACAGATGGAAAATATTTTGGAAAAACAAACTCAAGGAATAATACAAAAACTATGATGGAGAAAACTACTTGAGGTCTGTCCTATTGCCATTATTAACTGTTAAAATGGGAATGGAGAGCTTCAGAGGGGGGATAAAAGTGGATAGGAAGAAGTAACAAAGGAGGGAATATTTTTTAAAGGTATCAGGATACATGACCATGACATAAAAATGGGCTCTTTTCCATCAAGGTACACTCACACCCACATGCTTTTCTTGGCTATGTCCTGGAGCACAAAGCCATTGCACGACTATAGGGCCCTCATTTGTGAATTTCCCTTAAATATATACCCAACTGAGAATTCAGCAGTCAGCTCCCCTAGCTGTTTAACAAATTCACCGATGATAGGTAGTGACAGAAACGTCAAGCCCAGGCCAAGTGTGGGATCACTTACTGTCCTTTGGCATCTTTCACATCAACTGCTTCTGGGTTGTCTGCAATTTCTAGTAACAGCCGCAAACACAGTGTGTGACCATTAATTACTGGAAAAGAAAACAATGGACATTCTTTTAACAGACCAACACTACATCTCTCCCTCCAAGATGAAATTTATATGGACTTCAAATCAGTGGTTTTCAATCACTGCTGACTGATATCACCAGGTTTTTAGTCCACACTACCTCATTGTGACCCAGTGTTTATGTTCCTAACCCATTTTCCCCTTCCTTCTATCAGGGCACCTTGACCCTCATCTTTCTTTTTCCTCATTCCTGTATTAAGAGTTTCTTTTCTTAATTTTTTTCTTATCTCCTTGTATTAGGCTGATAATCTCTCCACATTTTCCAGTTATCCTTTTTGTTCCTCTAATAGAGAGTCACCCTGTTCTAGATAATCATCCCATATCCAGGCTGCCTCCAATCCATTTTTAAAAGAAGGAAGGGAAAGAAGTGGGAAGAGTGAACAGAAATAGGCTGAGAGGAGCAGAGAGGGAAGAACTGAAGCAAAGAAGCAGCAGAACAGCAGCAAAGAAAAGGGGAGAAGGGAGAAGTGAAAGGAGAGAGGGAGACCCAAAAGAAACAGATCCTGCACCCCCTTCCCCATTTTACATTCCGAGGCAGACTTTTGAGCTATAGTTTTGATTGATTTGTAGTGGCTGATAGAAAGCAAACCCTCAAGCCAGAAAGAGGCACAGGAGCCACTGGCTCACTGTTCACTGACTGACTTACAGAAGTGCCTCCTGTGACAGGAGGACAGAAGGACTCTTCCATCCTGTTTCCTAAACCACAATCCTTCAGTTTTTCTGTCCTCCGGGGACTCAAGCATGCTCCCACCCTCTCATCTTATGCCTCTCTTTCCCTGGTAAGCTTGACTGCAGCACCTCCTCATTCCTTCCCAGGCACTGCCCTGCTGCAAACACAGTGGGGGCCAGCAATGGGCATTTGGGGCAGAAATACATAGATTAGCCCCTACATGTGCACCTGGCAAGATGCTTCTTTTAGATGTTGGTGCCATGGGGGCTGGCAAGGATGATAATCCCTTTGGATAAGATACTTTCCTCCAGCTTGTTAATGGAACCAGAGCTTTAGAATAGACACGACTTTCCACTCAGGGAATACGATGAGAATAAATATGTTTAAAATTCCAAACATGACCTCTCCTCTCTGAACAATGAGAACACCACATAATACATGGCATTTACTTCATTATGGATATGGAGAGAGGGGAATGATGCAGCTATGTTAGGTTGATAAAGGCTCTTCTAAGAGCTGTGTTTTACAGTCCTTTTTATTACATGCCAGTCATGAGAGAAAGCTAATTTAGCAAGGACACATTTTTCAGGGATAATACATATCAGAACCAACTCACATTCATCGACACCACTCAAATTAACTACAGGAATAATGCCCACATTTTGTAGAATACTGCATTCAGCTTGTTCTCAGAGACACTCCATTTACGTCTCTTAGGAGGAAATTTTGTGGACTGTAGTACAGGCCATATATTATTGTTGCTGTTGTTTTGGGGTTTTTTTTGTTGTTGTTTTAAAAATTACACTAAATCATGTTACCACTGGTAAAATAGGGAAGGCGTTTAATGTATGCTTAAAAGGAAATGATTCAGTTAAAGGACTGATGTTAAGTGCTACAAGTAATAGGTGCATGAATTGGAGAAACAGTTTATTTTGACTGGTTCCTCTTTATGTATCAATTTGACATTCTTTAGCTAATCATAATCATGACAGTTTCAAGGATGTTTGAATTTTGGTTAAACAGAAAAGGGGGGAAAATCTAAGTTCATATCATTCACCCAGTATGTTGGACAGCAAACCAATTTCTTCAATAATGCTTTTTGGGAGGGTTGTATGTGGGATGGTATATTAGCTTTTTGAATTTAGATAACACCTTTGGGTAAATATAAGCACTTCTTATTGTAAAAGTATAGCCAAATTAGAATTCCTATTGGCCTCTCACACATTACTTTCCCACCCCCACCCCAATTACCTTCCAGCAAAAAGATGCTAACAATCTCCTTTAGCTGTGTCCTGCCAAGTCTAGCTTTGTCTCAGACTAGCTCAGCCTTTCCCTGGTTATGAGTGACAGCCATTTTTCATGCTGCTCAGAGAACACGAATGCCATTGCAACTCTATGCCAAAACCTTTAATATTCATCCTGGCTCCTGTTCTTTACAGTACTCCCAAGATTTGAGGGGGGAAAAATTGGCCTCTGAAGTGAGTTGGAAATGAGTCTGGATAAGCAGATCCTCAAAGCACAGGCTAAAGCTTCCATACAGCAGACATTTTGTGAAGGACAAAGTCGAATGACAGCCTGCCTCTTTTAATGAATGACATGAGGGAAGTCCAAAAGAAGCGAGTCATCTTGACCACCAGGGGGCTCCATTGGACTGCAGCCTATGTCACAGAGGCAAATGAATGACAATGATTATTTTTCATTGTTTACCTGTTCACAGGGGCGATTTTCCACAATCAAAACAGGCCCTTTGTAATTGTCAGGAAGTACATGGTAACTAAAGCAGGATGCTTGCTTTAATAATAAGCGACTAATCTTTCAGAAGGAGAACTACATTTGAACTTTGTAATGATACCAAGAATGCATAGGGAGCAAAAAAAAAAAAAAAAAACCAACAAAAAACAAAATACAAAACTAACAGTGAAGGGATAAAAGAATTTATAATTTAACCATACCAACCATTGCTGACCTCAATGGCTAAGTTTTCTTTCCAGGAACTATCTTTTCCAAAAATTAAGCAACTGCCATGTTTTTTTCTATCTGCATGTTGTTTTTCTTCAGTGGTTTGGATATTCAGAAATGTGGATGGAAATATTTCCACAAGGTCAAACATTCTTAGAAAATTTTCCCAAGCAACAGGAATCAAGTACTTTGAAAAACTGTCTTCATTCCTTTGTATCCTCAGTACACCCATTATTTCATAGCATAAGACAGTTATTTCTCTTTATAAGACGGATTCTTTTATTCTGATCAAACACCAGTATTGTCTGAATTTCTTGACCTCAAAGGTATTTATAACTCAGCTAAGCTAGAGCGTCTTCCACATTATCATTATATCTGTGTATATGTCTAGAAGAGTCTTCACACAATTTTATTTCAGGTACATTAGAGAAAAATTCCAGAAAAAGAAAATTACCAAATTTTCTGATATATACATGCACTCTTTCAGACTCTCTATTTTTACACTTGATGTCTCAAGAATCAGGGCAAAAGCTAAGAAGCATCATCTAGGCTGGCAGAATGATATACTTACTATATTGTTTTCTGGCTACTCCATTTACACAACAGACTTGAATTATCATTACTTTTAATGCTTCAAAATGCTCTGTGATTTTGTTCTATCTAACTCATCTGAAGATCACATCAAACCTTATCCTTTCTCCAGATAGTTTTGTGATAGAGCTTGGCCAAAGGATCTGAACTCTCTTTAAAATTAAGAAAGCCAGATGAAGTCCGCAAGATTTTTAGGTAGTATTTTTAGTATCATATTATTTGATATTAAAATGGTGATACATGCCATTATACATTTGTCCAAAATTATAGAATGTATAACACCAAGAGTCAACCCGAATGTAAACTATGGACTTTGGATGAGTAGGATGTATCAACATAGGTTTATCAGCTGTAATAAATGTATCACTCTGGGGAAGGATATTAATAATATGGAGGCTAGACAAGTTTGGGGGGCAGGGAATATTTAGGAAATCTTTGTACCTCCTTCTCAATTTGGCTGTGAACCTAAAACTGCTCTATAAAGTGATGTCTTTAAAGAAGAAAATCAGAGCCTGTCTGATTAGAGAAAAATAATCATCTCCAAGTAGACAGTAGGCCAAAAGCATTTTGGAAGAGTTACAGGTATATCTAAGATGAAAAGAAAACGATTATTTTAAAAGCCTTGGTGAAAGAAGAGGCTGTTATCATTTACTCAAACTTTTAAGTAGATCCAAAAACTGGGGAAGCCATATGTTTGATAAGATCTACCTGAGGCATGAAGTGGGGTTCTTTTGGTTACGTTGTCTTTCACAAAGATGGATGCACCCTGATTGACAAGTGCTTCCACACACTCTGTGTGTCCCTTAAAGGCAGCCAGGTCCAGAGGAGTGCGGCCTTTCTCATCCCTGATATCAAGGTCCACCAGAGACTGCAGTAGAACTTCCAAGGCTTGGTGGTGCCCATTGTAGGCCTGCAACAAAGAAGAAACCAGAGACTCAAAGGCTTGCTCACCTCAAATCCCACAAACCTCCATAGGAGAAGCTAAACCTCCAATGTCACAAAGACCACGCCAAGAGTATGTCAGACACTTGGAGTAATTTATTGAAACAGGCAAACCAGAAAGTTAAACTGAAAAATTCTAATGCACCAGCCTCACAGTTACATGTGTTTCTTCATGTTCTTTCTCTTTTGTCAAAGGACCAATGTGTTATTTAATATACTCTTATATTTTAACTTACCAATCTAATAATCTAATACAGATAAACAGTTGAATGAATTTATTTATATAGTATTCCATATGTCTGTTCAGTTTGAAACATACAGACACAATTAGAATAATTTTTTTAGGAGATTTGTTTGTTAAACTGGGAGGAAAAAAATTTAGTAAACAGACCTTCTGTTGTAGTCCAACATTTTAATTTTGGGTGAAACTGGAGCACCTGTTGGACAAAGGAGACCAACACAGACTGCACCAGCAGAGACACCCAGGAGATTCATGCTTCACTAGACAGAGGTGGGTGGAGGTTGTGGTAGAGGATGGGAGGCTGCTGTACATACTGAAGCACTACTATTTGGCCAAAAGCCCTGGGGAGGGGAAAGTGAAATGGTGTCCAGGCACATCTCCCTAAATGATGGGAAACATGCAGAGGAGTTGGTGTGTTTCAGGGGCCTGCCCCTCAGTAAAAATAAGGACAGTGCCTGGGCTGCACTCCACCTCCCCAATCCCACAGGACTGATGTTCACCTTTAAAGCACAATGACAGCTGACAGATGGGAGAGATTCTGGTGTGAAACCCAAGAGAAGAGATATATTGACAGCTCCACAAACAGAACCAGTTGTCGCCCCTCTGTTCCCATTAGTGACTGGACCCACCAGACCCAGTCAAAGAAATTGAGTAAACATACAGAAAATTTTGTGGAACCACGAAAGACCTTGAATTGCCAGAGCATTCCTGACAAAAAAGAGGAAGAATGAAGGTATCACACATCCAGACATTTAATTATACTACACAGTTACAGTAATCAAAACAGCACTACATTGGTATAAAAATAGACACACAGCATAAATGGAACAGAAAGCACAGAAATAAACCCACACTTATAAAGACAGTATACAACAAAGTAGCTTAAGAGTACACAATGGAGAAAAGATAGTCTTGTCCACAGGTGGTACAGGGAAAATGGACAGTCACATGCAAAAGAATGAAAGTAGACCTATCTTATATTGTGCACAAAAATTAACTCAAAATGGATTAAAGACTTGTATGTAACACCTGAAACCATAAAATACATAGAAGAAAAACAGCAAAACATTCAACAACATTGGCTTTGGTAATACCTTTGTGATCTCAACAAAAGCAAAAATAAACAAATGGACTACATCAGACTAAAAAGAAACCATCATTAAAATTAAAAGACATCCTGTTAACTGTGAGAAGCTATTTGCATACTTTACATCCAACTGAAAGGAGGCTAATATCCAAGATCTACAGAGAACTCATATAACTCATCAAAAAGAAAATAAATATATCAATCAAAACTGGAAAGATTGAAATAAAAACTTCTCCAAAGACACTTAACAGATGGCCAACAGGCACATGGAATAATTTTCATCATCACTTATCATCACAGAAATGCAAATCAAAATCACAATGAGATAACCACCTCACACCTATGAGAATAGCTCATATCAAGAAGACCAGAAACAACAGTGTTGGCAAAGACGTGGACAAAAAGGAAATCCTGTACAAAGCTGGTGGTAATGTACTGGTCCAGCCCCTATGGAAAACAGTATGGGTTTTTTTTAAAACACTAATTAGATTTACCAAATGATACAGAATTCCCTTCCTAGGTATCTACATGAAGAATGCAAAAACTCTAATTAGAAGGCATTTATGTACTTCTATGTTCATTGCCAACACTATTTACAGTAGCCCACCCAGTTATGGAAACAACCTAAGTGCTCAAGGTCAGAGGCATGGATTAAGAAGATATGACATATATAAACAATGGACTACTACTCTGCTATAAAAAAAAAATGATCTCTTGCCATTTGTAATAACATAGATAGACGTGGAGGAGATTGTGCAGAGCAATATTAGATAGAAGGAGAAAGACAAGTCCAGAATGGTTTCACTCATGTGGAATACAGAGAAATAAAACAAAGGGTCAGAAAACAGCAAGCCAAAAACAAATCCTAGAAATCTGACTGTAGAGTTTAGCATACTAGAGGGAGAAGAAGATGATAAAGAGCAAAGTGGGAAGGAGCACAATGGAACACGGTGGAGGACTCCAGGTCCCTTAATGGTGGGTGCGGTGTGGTCATATCTCCGAAGAGTTGTGTGAATCTATACACTTGAATCACATACAATATTGCAAACCAATATTACCTCTATTTAAAAAATGTATATAGATAATGTAAGAAAAAAAGAATATGCATATACAAGGCTAAAGACATTGCAATGAAAGACAGAAAAGCAATAAAGGTATTGGGGTGCAGGGGAAGTAAACAAGGACATCAGGGAGAGGCCACTCCCCAATCTCCTAGAAGTCAAAGTTCCCTCTTAAGTCCCCTGAACTATTTTTTTCTACTGCAGCTATCACTCAAGGCACAATTTCTTTGGGAAAAAAGGCTTAGCACATACAAAAAGACTAATTTTCTTAGCATACAAAGAGCTCTTATGAGCATTTTTAAAATTAGGAAAATGTGCAAAGGGTATGAAAATGCAGCTCAATGGAAAAGAAATGTTAAAGGTCAGAGGATTGTACATCTCTGGTCTAACCTAAACTCTGCAGCAATGACTGAGCACTTGCTATGTGTCAGGCATTACTGCACATTTGCACCTCACTTAACTGTCACAACAAGCCATGGTTTGCATCCTGTTGTTATCACAATTTTACCAATGAGGACATAGACTGGTAGAGAGGTGGGCCCAGGTCTCCCAATGTCACCCAGCCTGATGAGGGGGAGCTGGGATCCAAAAAGAGACCAGTCAGGTCCTAGAGCCTGAACTGTGGGCTTTACATGAGTTCCAATGGAAAGGGAGCAACATGGTTATAAGGAAACATCAAACATGTATAAAGGAGAGAGGATAGTGTAAAGAATTCCCAAATGCCCATCACCTAGTTTCAGCCATTATCAATTTAAGCCATGCAACCTTGAGAGGAGCCGCCTCCTGTAAATGGAGTTGTGATAACAGGGAATCTACATTAGGGTGTAAATCAGTCTAGCGCATTTTACTGGAATTTGTGGATTAGCTGAAAATTGACTTTGCATAACACTACCTCCCAGTTTAAATTGCAATAGTAGTAACTAATTCAGCTTACTTCACATTCAAGGGAAATGAGTCTATGTATATAACTGTAGATACGAAAATGCTAATTCTTTCAGCACCAGTTACTATTATGACAAAGTAAACATTAAAATTCTGTCACTATGATTTAGCCATGGAAAACAGAATCAGCAATTTATAAATTGCATGCCTATCTGCAAAGCACGATGGCTAATATATTTAGTTTTAATGAAGAGAAGGCACAAGGGAAAGAAAAACATAAACAGGAAGGAAGCTGGTAAGAAGGAACCAGCACTGTTCAGAACAGCAATCACATTAGGACCCACATTAAGGGGTCTTAAGATAGGTGTTAACTCAAGAATTCATCCAGTATAAAAGATCCCTGCCCTTTCTTCTTTAATCCTCACAACAAAAAATACAAATCCATTATCATGTACTGAAGTTAAAGAGGCTTAATATTAAAATAAAATGGAGTGAACCCTGCTGGTAATTAGGAAAGCTTCAAAATTCCAATCCATATTTTCTTTTGTATCAGGTACTTGAAAATTCTCTTAATGAGAGAATGGTTGAAAGATTAGGCTTACTATAGGATTCCCCTCATTTATTCCTTTAGTCCAGCTTGTAGCTCTTGAATTTTCATAGTGCAGGCAATAATATACAGAATAAAAGACATACAGGCATGTATACTAAACTTCCAAGGCAATTCACAGGGAATAATAAAGGTATCTTTAATTATACAAAAGTCTTCAATTACCTTCACATTTTAGAGTTGAACCTATAATTGTTTCTATCACATAATATGAAATTCTATTTTTTTATAATTTATTTTAGTTACTTGTTTTTAATGGTGGTCACATTGGGATACCCCATCAGGTATTACCACCATCGTGCATTCACCACTATTCATTTTCCACCACCATAAACCACTGTGCTTCCTTCCCTCTTTGTTCTTACGTCTCCCCCGGCTTTTCCCCCCTGGTGCTTCAGTTCTATGGTCAGCTATGAAGGTTAGTTTTAAAGCTTGTCTTGATCTGACTCTTGGTTTTTTTACTTCATAATATGGAATTCTATTCTGTGGTTAATTGCATGAGTCTGTTTATAGGCAGTTGTATGGTTCTTGGAATGAACGTATATATAAAAAGTATACCATAAACTCCTGGAAGAAATTCAAGTAGTCAGAGAAAGGAGACCTTTCTTGTGTCAGCAGTACATGATGCCAATTGTTTTATTTCTCTACAATCATGCTAAACTAGGTCTTTAGTAGGCAATTCCACAAATAATTTCTGAAATAACTAAAGAGAAAGTAATCACCCAAAAGAACAAATACACTGGTTCCAAAAGCATATCATATTTTGGTTTTCTATAGACAAGCCAATTTAAGCCTTCACTGGAGGTTGCAATCAAACTAAATTTGTTTTACAAAGTTTCTTTAAGAGAAAAATCTCATTAGATAAGTTAAATAGTTTTTAAACACGATTAATTTCTTTGAACTTTTTTGATAGAAACTGAGGGCAATGAGAAGAAAGAATCTGGGATTGTATCAGAATCCATAAACAATGGGTCCTTCTGGAAATCTCAACAGCTGGAGTCTTTCATTTGCATAGCCCTGTTCTTGATTTAATTTTTTCAAGTAGATGAAATGCTTATGAAATTCACTGGCATGATAACCCTAGAGACTTGAATCATTCAGCCAGGAAATAGTAACTCAAGGCAGGTCAGGCTTCTTGTGGCAGCCAAGGTTTGGGGGGCATCTGGTTCTATTTCATTGTTAGAATGCTTCTACCCAAGAAAGAATGTGCCTTGGGTTTTTATCAAGTTAATTGCTCCAGAGGTCCCTGGAGAGGATATTGGGCACACTTGTGAGGATTCTTGAAGCAAATAATAATTTTAAAAAATGTTAACATTTAGAGGGCAAGAATAAAATAGTTTTAGAATTAACCCACTGCTATCACCCCAATCAAACTCATCATTATTACTGCCTTCCTGGTTGTCTTGCTTCTGCTTTTGCTTTCTTACAATTTAAACTCAACACAGAAACTAAAGTTACCCTTTTAAAACTAAACTTATATTTGTTTCCTCAAAACCTTCCAAACAATTTCCTGATTTGCCCTAGCAAAAATCAAAGTCTTTATAGTGGAGTATAAGGTCACCCATGACTTGTGACAGCCCTCTTCTGACTCCCTGCCCCTCCAGAAGCCATGAGACCTCATCCATTATCATGTTCCCCTCATCACTCTGCCCCCACCATTGTGCCACTTTGTGGTTCTGGGAATGCAGAAAGCAGAAACTTAGCACTTCTACTCAGAACACTTTTCTGCCAGTTAGCAACACGGGTAGCGCCCTGTCTGCCACCTCGGTGGTCCCTGGCTCACTGATCCTGTTTGCAGCATTTATTACCATCTGTCTTGCTATATCTTTACTTGCCTATTTTCTTTCCTAGAGAAAATTTACAAAGACAGAAATTGGGTTTTGTTTACTACATCTCCAGATACTGGAATAGTGCTCAGTGCACACAGAATCAGTAAATGTCAAATGACAGAATGGTATTAGTGTTAATAATAGCAAAGCTGAAGTCAGCTAATTGCATTTATGTGCCCGATATGGTGCAAACCGCATTACATGTATGTCTCATATCCTCTCCCCAACAGCCCTATGCTAATAGCACTGCAATACTCTTCATGTTATATATGGGGAAACTGAGATATGAGAGGTTAAGTATTTGCCAAGATCATACAATAACAAGTTAAGTATTTGCCAAGATCATACAATAAACAAGTAAATTAATAAACTGAGAAGTTGTCGGGACCCTCAACAAGCTCACTCCCTTTTACTTACAGGTGGGAAAATCATGTTCAGGTGAGCTGCAGAGGAGAAGACTGACCAGGAACTCCTCTCTGTGTGCACTTCCTAGGCCCTGCCAGCGGCAGGAACACCAAAGCCCAACTCTTTCCAGTGATGTCATACTGCTCTGTCTTTACCTAACAGAAAACCCACAGAACCGAGCAGAGCACCTGGCACTCAGTAAGCACTCAACAATAATTTTTGAAAAAGAATGACATAGGACAGAATTTTTGGAAGCCAAGTCTCATTTCAGATTACTAGTGGACTTGGCAGTAAATCAATCCTACTGTCAAAGGACATTAGAATTCTGTCTAAGACAACCTTTCAAACATGCTTCTCTAGAGCAGCTAGTGCTATTTGTAAGCCCATCCCCAGGAAAAAGATTGATGCATGCTTTAGGCTGATTTCACTGGATGCAAAATGTGTGTATGTTGTAGTGTGGATGTATTGGTGGCTAAGACAAAGGGTATGCAAGTGGGGTGTCAGCAGTTGTGCTGGCAAGTATGTGGGGTCACAGGCAATGAAAGGAGGATTCCATGTAGTGTGATGGCCATGCACCATGTCTGAACACTTACATATACCTGTTTAAAAAAACTCTTTTCTGTTCTCCATAATCTTCATCCCAATCTTTCATTAGAATGACATTGAAGAAGTGCTTATGTATGCATGGTTTTAAGTGAAATGTCATGACAGTTCAAGACAGAGATCCACCCTATTCCCACATCTAAACACATGTTGTGTGGCCATAGACCAAGGGCTCACAATTCAGCAGCACCTTGAGCCACTGAGCTGGCTGTTGCTGGTGTGGCTGCAAATCTCAAATGATACCAGGAACCAGCTGCGGACTGCCAGCTAGTAGCAGGGCACTACCTAAGGTAGCTAAGGTAGAGTGGTTGGTGCATTCCCGGGTGTCAGCACTATGGAGAGTCTAGAAATCACCACTCTGAGATGTTGCACTTCCCCTCAATAACTGGGCTGTGGACAGGAAGTTTTACTAGTGACACATTGAAGTCTTCCTCCCTTCCTTCCCAGACCTCCCCCAGTGCAAGTGTCAAAGTCTGAGATCTCCTTAGGCAGAAAGGGCAGAGTTGCAGTGAAGCATGTATTGTGCTTAAATATCTCACAAGCTTTTGGTCACATAGTATCTGATTGTCTGTAGGTTGAATACTTGTATGTTGTCTACAATCAAATTTCTAAAACCAAAATGTTCTTCAAATTTTCTTGTTTTGTAAATTTAACTACTAGATAATAATAATTTTAAGATGGTAAAAATTTCTAGCAATCATTAAGTACACTGTGGTAAGGGCTTTATGCACATCATATCTTTTCCTCTGCCCTTTCTAAAAAGGAGGAAACCAAGGCTCAGACATTGTAATTAACATGTCTGTGGTCACCAGTGGTGCTGGGGTTGGAACAGGAAGCAGTCTCTTGGCAGCCTGGGCCCAGGTACTGTTTTCATTTTTAGTTATTACTGTGACTATGTTTCCATTTTAAGAGCAGCCTCGTTTTAAGATCACATAGTTTCTTTTTGTAACAGGTGAATTTGCTGTAGCATCTCACTTACAGCTAAGTGGAGGGGACTCTTGGTAGCACCGGAATCTGATTCTTCAAAACCACTGCTGGTTCTTTCCAAAAGCTGGGGACAAAAAGAAAATAGTATGTAAGTGCAATTTGCAAAAGGAATCCTACTTGATGGATAATGATGTTGACATAAGTAAGAAAAGAGTCTTCAAAAATTTAAGAAATTATGTAACTTATCGCAATGTAAGAAATTTGATAGCATATATCAAAAACAAATACTACTAACTATATTTCAGCTGCTAAATCAGCTCAGCAATTGCTAGTCGCAAAAGATTTTGAACTTGAAAAGATGCTTAGCTACAGAAAAAATGTTAAATCCACTTTTCACCCACTAGATGGTTAATAATGAAAAAAACGGCAATACTCAGTATTTATTCCATCGTGAAACATGTATTTACTGGAGGCAGTGTCGAGAAAGACATACAATGCTTCCATTCCTACGGAGCTTACATTCTAGAGAGGGAAAGCACAGACAAGTGAATAAACACACATAACAGAAAATATCTGGTAAAGCGATATCTATGATGAAAATAAAATGAGGTAATACAGAGTGATTGGGAAGTGACTTTACTCCTGATGGTCAGGGAAGGCCTCTCCCAAGAGGTGATATTTAAAGTGAGATCTGAATAAGAATTAAGTCAGGCAACTGTGTGACAGGGGAGTACAGAGGGAGGAAGGAATAGTCAGGGCAAAAACATCAAGTGGGGAGGATGAGTTCAAGAAACAGAAGGGATGATGTCACCAGGGCATGAGATTGGGAGAGTTTTAGGAAATAGATATTCTAATGGATTTTTGATGGAGAACAAACATTTTGGGCAATCGGTACATATCTCTAACCCTAGGAACTAAATCTCAATAAAAAGACAAGGACACATTGATGCATATATAAACAAATGTATGCATTCGACAAATAGTTGACAGATGATAACTAAGGTGCTCATTGTTTCATGCACTGAGAATACAACAATAAGCAATAGATTAAAAAATCCATTTTCTCATGGGGGTGAAGAGACAATAAAAGAAAGGTTGTGCAGTTAATTAGAAAGTGCTAGGTGCTGTGGAGAAAAATAAAACAGAGAAAGAGGATTTGGAGGGCTAGAAGGGAGGGCTGCAAGGGAGGTCAGTTTGCAATTTTAAATAGGATGATCAGGTTATGGTCAAGCAAAGTTTATAGGGCAATAAGAAAGCCTGTGGATCTCTGTGGCGAGAACATTCCAAGCAGAGGGGCAGGCAATCCAAGCCCCTTAGGGACAGGTGTGCTTACAAATATCAAGGAGACACTGGAAAAAATGAAAGGAAAGGATGACAGGAAAAGAAATCAGAAAGATGGTGGCAGAGAGAGTGGTGGTGCCAAAAAGCCGTCAGGGTTGTTGTAAGGATTTTGACTTTTATTCTGAGTGAGATGGAAATTCAATGGAGAGTTTTGAGAAGGGGGGTGATATGTTGTAACTTGCAGACTCTGGGAGGGCTGGAGTGGAAGCACAGAGAACACTGAAGAAATGGGACAATAGTGCAAGAGAGAAATGACAGTGGCGTAGACCAGCAAGGAACAGTGGGGATGGAGAGGAGTAGTAGGCTTTGAATATTTCTGGAGGTAGAATCAAAGGATTTGTGAATGGATTAAATGTGAATGTGAGAGAAGCAGAACAGTCAAGGATGACTCCCAAGTTTTTATCCTGAGCAGATGGAAGGCTGGATGGTCCATGAACTGTGATGGAGGAGGCAGCCAGTGGAATAGATGTAGTGGGAAAGAGTAGAAGTTCAGTTTTAGAAATACTAAGTGTGGGGGAAAAAAAACAGAAATACTAAGTGTGAGATGTCTTTTCAAGCATCCAAAGGTAAGTATTAACTAGGGCGTGGTGGAGACATAATTTGGAGTTCAGGGTATTTAAAGTCATAGATTGGATGAGATGAGCAAGGGAGTGAATAGAGAAGAAAGACTTAGACTGAGTGTAAGCTAGAAAAAGCAACAGGAAAGCATGAAGATCTGGAAACCAAGTGAAGAAAGTTCCAAGGAAGAGAATGACATTTAACCACATCAAATGTCCAGAGAGGTCAAGTAAATGAGGCTTGATAACTGACCATTGGGTGGAATGACATGTAGGCGATTTATGGCTCTGGTAAGAGCAGTTACAAAAACACTATTAATATTAAAAAATAGAAAAGTAAATCGCTAGCAATATTGGGATGGGTTAAATATAGTGGTATATATCCACCCCTTTAGATAAATTATCTTTATGTTGCTGTCAAATTTTTTGTACAATGATGAATTCAAAAGGAATGAAAATCTAACACCCAGAACCTTGTATGGTGAATATTGCTGCTCCAGCTTGGGTGATTGTGGGTTTGGCTTGCCCTGTCCTGCAAAGGCTGGAAAGCTAAAAACTACATTTCCTAAACTTGCTTGAGCTAGGGTTGCAGATATAATTTAGATTTTTACCAATTAAATGCACTAAACCAAAATTTTGAAGGCAGAAATAAGGCAGCCAGACATATGTGATTTCTAACAGTGAGGATAGCCTTAGAGATTTTGTTTGCTTTTAGTTTGCAATGAATAGGCCACTAGCTTAGTGGGGGCAGAGAAGCAAGACAGGAATACAGGATAGGAATACATTAATTTCTTCAATGTGTAATTCAATCAATGATTTCTTCAATCAAGCAGATGCTGCATGCCAAGTCTGTCCCTATATGTTCCATAGGATTAAGTGCCTATGGAATAGCCATTCTGGTGGCTGCTTTCTGATTCCTTTTCTTTTTGATCATAGGGAAAAGGCAGCTGCCCTGGCAGTGCAGTTTATTAATTCAGGATTATTTCTGGAGGACCAGCCTCGAACCCACCCCAATCCATTCACAAATCCTTATAAACACCTATTTTAAAAATCAAATCTCATTCTGCTAAAATGGCTAGCATTGTTTCTGTTTTCTTCAAATGAACGCTGATTGATTCAAAGAATAATACAGATTATCACAGAAGTCTTAATGGGTATGGCAAAGGAGAAATTATACCACTCAACACAGGAGAAAACAAAACTTTCAAAAAACAACTTTGCCCATTCATCTTTCTGAAGGTCCCAAATTTATCAAATAGAAAAACACATTTAAAAGTCATTTGTGTGGAATGATACCATTTTTTATTTTTAAAAACCTGTACTTACACGACTATGTAGAAAATAATTGTTCAACAAAGAAATCTAAATGTGGGATTATAGATGATTTTTATTTTCTTATTTTTACTGATTTTTTTGCAGTGAATACATATTAAAAAAAAAAACACTAAACCTATTTCCATTTGGAGAAATGATTAACCTTCCTTTTCATTTAACAGAAAGATGTCCACAGATTGCAGTTAGATCCAGAACTGCAAGTGGAACAATTACAATAGTCAATGCAAGTGGAACAATTACAATAGTGTTGAGATTCCTAGGCAGATCAAGTAACAGTATAAAATTTATCTTAAAAGGCACAAAATTTCAAGTTTCCAGATAATACAACACAAATAATTACATTGGAAGTATGAGATACCTTATGTTTGTTTTTCATTAATGTGAGAATAAAATTTGGAATTTAACAATCCAGAAAATGTTAGAATAATGAGAATAAATTTAATTTTAGCTTCAAAGCAAATACTTTAAGCTCAATCTTCCTTACATTATTAAAATAAAAGTAGCCATAGCTGCTTGAAATGGCTAGAAAACAGCTGTTCTTTGCTTTGTTTTGCAACATTATCACCTGCAAGACTTCCTGGAATTGACAATGTGTACCAACTCCAAATCCTGTCCTAGAATAAACTTTTAATGAAAAGAACACAATCATTTCCACCATTATTACACACACACAATAATACAGGCAAGAAAACAATATGCTGTTCATAGCCACAAGTTAGGCATGTTACCACATTTATTAGGGAGTAAAAATTTTCCGCACATGTACTTTGATCATTCGAATAGCATGTAATGTTTTACTTCAAGCATTCACCAAATATGTGCTGAGTTCATCTCTGTGCAGGACCCTGGATTAGGCATTAGGATTCAAGGGTGCAGGGAGCATATGTAGTTATTGACCTGAAAGAGCTTAGAGGCTGATGGGGAATGTGCAGTGAGGTGAGAGCTAGGATGGAGAAGTGCAAGATGCCACAGAAACATGAAGAAGCACCTGACATGAGCTTTGGAGGTAAGAGAAGATGCCTTTTTAAGAAAAAGGGCTACAAAGAACACAAAAACATTGATTCGAAAGAATATCAGTACCCCTATGTTCATTGCAGCACTGTTTACAAAAGGTAAAACCTGGAAGCAACCCAAATGCCCAAAAATAGATGACTGGATCAAGAAGATGTGGCATATATACACAATGGAATATTACTCAGCAACAAAAAAGATAAACTCATCCATTCACAGCAATGTGGATGGAACTAGAAGGAATTATGGTCAGTGAAATAACCCAGAAGGAAAAAGAAAAATATTGGATGGTTTCACTTACAGCAGGGAAACCAAGTAAGACATCAGTGTAAAAAAATAGCAATACAAAATACAGCAAAACAAAAACAGACAGTTATAAATCAGAGACATCCTGCAGGGCAGCAGGAGTGAGAGGGATCAGAGGGAGGGAGGGAGGAGCACAGGGGACTGAGATGATGGTACATGGGTGCACTGGTAAAGGAAACTCTATGGGACTACACTAAGGAGGTGGGGGGAAGCAAATATTGTTTAAAACTGAACAATGATGTAAAAAATTTAAAAAAAATGAAAAAGAAAAAGGGTTAGCCTGAGATCTGGTCTATAGGGGTAAACCAGGAAAAGAGAAGAGGGAATTTCCAGGCAGAGCAAGAGCATGTGAGAGCAATGAGTACAACAAATTTGAAATCTTTAAATTCAGTAACACTAGAGTAGCATGTAAGGATGAGGAAGAAATGAAGAACAATGAAGACAGGAATGGAAGCAGGAGAGATATTAGAGATAGGGTGATCATACCATTGTTGACCAATCAGGATATTTTTAAGGATGAAAACTATGCTGGGATAACAGTAGTAAACCAGGACATCAAATTAGGATAATTATT